AGGACAAGAAAATGCATATCAAGTCGAAACATAAATTTGGGTCAAAAAGTTTAATTTAAACAAGTGTTGTTGTCGTCTTCGGTCTGCTGTGTTGATACTTTTGCCTTCTTTGTTGTTGCGGGCAGAGGAGCCAGCAACATCACGTATACGCAGTGTAACACAAAGTACAAATAAATTAGTTGCACTCAAGGCGGATGGGATTGGCGAGGACGTAGAGATTGCTGGGGCTGGCTTGTTTTGGCTTGGCTTGGTCCTGCTGCGAAAAACTTGGCAAACGAATGCCAGAACGGAAATTTACTAATTTCAAAGTTTCGCACGCATTAACCTCGAAAATCTGTGTGCAACTTGAAGACACTTGCAATTGCAGAGACACCCCGAAAATCGAGGGAGTCTCCATCTTTCGTGTCGCTGTGCTTGTGCAAATAATTTGGGTCACGAGCTGAGCAAGCAACAGGGATAAGGATTTGGATAACCGAGGGGTTTTTAGGAGGGTGACTCGATTTCAAAAGGTCACAAAAAATCTATATATAAAAAAGTCTATCTCAGTCTTACAAAACCCAACGCAAAAGAACTATTAACGTATTATGGAATCACTCTACATTTTGGAATACCACCTAGTTGTTTTAGTAACTTATTATTGCTTATTATATCAATTCCAGAAGTAAAACAGGACATATTTTAAAAAGTTATGGGGGGACAATCCCCATTTAACGAGTTTGAATCACCCTAGCAAGGAGTGTACACTGTGCAGCAGCTGACAAGTTAACGCTGCGTATACGTAACCCCTGAACAGGGCCGGGCTAAAAACGTCTAAGGAGAACAAAGACACGGGTGAGCGGCAGCCGAGTCGAGTTGAACTATTGTCAAGTTTTAACCTCGATATGCAGCGATGTAAGATTAGGCGTCGTCTAAGCCACACCCCTCCGCCGACCCCTTTTCCCACGCCGCCCATGGAATGCAGCGCCCTGGGACAAAACAAAAATAAGTAGCAAAATGCCAGGCGAACTGAGCAGCAGCAGGAGCAGCGGCTCACTGTCATGCCAACGCACGGGAGTTGAGCATGGTCATGTGTGGTGTGGTGAGGGGTTGGGTGTTCTGGAGGTGGGCGGTGACCCAGGGTCGTGGGAGGGGGCGTGGCAACGAGGAGCGGCTCGTGTAATCATGCAGCGACGCCGACGACCCCTTGAGTGCATTACAACAATTGAAATTGCCGGGGCTGCGACTCAGACTGCGAATGGGCTGCTGCTAATGTGGGCTTATGTGGGATCAGATGGCGAAAAATATCTCAAATAAAGTGGTCTTTAAATGGGCCTGCAAAAAATGTACATATTTGTGAAGGGCTCTTAGAAAGCGCGAAATGGACTTAAACTAGATTTCTGCATTATTTTAAAGTTCCTGAATATATTATTATTATTTTATATTGAACATGAAGCAGAAATATATCTGTTTGTAAGGACTTAATGTTATTGTCATGTAAAATTAGTAAATACATTTAATGTGTAATAAAAACTGTTTATTTAAATAGTACCCTGTCTAAAAAAAACCAATTATTAAAATTAATCAATTAGTATAAAAGCACAAAATTTAAATATATATATTCGAAATATGATGGACATAGTGCGAGAAATCTCTTCGGATGGATTTCTTACGTTTTTTAACACTTAACATACACATATTTCGATATCAATTGGAATGTTTAAAACCCTTAGCACTCGTTTCTTTCGGTTTTCCCAGTTGCCTGCCCATTGTCACCCTTTGACTGCAAACCAGGTTGAGGCTGCAGATGGGTGAGAGGTTCGAGGTCGGAGGTCTGAGATGAGGACGACTCGACCCGCTCGCTGGCCTTTTTGTGCGCATTCATCATTATTGTGGGCCCGCTCTTAAGGCGTGGCACCCGCCCAACGCCCATCCATTACAAAGCCCTCGACAAGTGTGTCAGGTCCAAACGGCAGTCGGCGGTTGTTTCGCGGCGTACAAGTTCAAAATCAACTATTCTTGGCTGAGTTTTCAGGCCACACCAGGAACCTGCACATTTTCCCAGCTACTGGGCTTTAATGGAACTAAATTCCAAAACGAATTTCATTTAATTTCTGGCCCAAGTTGCAGCTCAGCTAATGCAACAAATGGCTATAAATAAACTAAACCCATGACCCCATTAAAAAATCAGAACAAAACTCGAGTAAATAAACCGAACAACTTTAGCTGACCAACGAAAAAGTTGGGAATAAACTACGAGCGAACTGCACTCAACTTGTAATGAAGTTTCAATATACAAATCAATAAGGACCAAACCGGCAGGCCAACCTCCTTGAGTCCAGGACCTGCAGGCTGCACACCGCCCGGAAAGTACGGACAAAAAGCAAACAACTTGGACGTCGAGAGGCGGAGCAACAATCTGTGAGATGCACAGATGAGGCCCACTGATGTTTGGGTCAGTTGCAAACTTTTTAGACTCCTTATTCCCGTAGACGGGAAATCAGGGGCGTTGAGAGGGATGGGTCTATGTCTATGTCTATGGTTGCCATCGGCAGGAGAAGTTAATGATGTCACTTCCACTTTTACCCAGAGGCCGGAGGCATCAACCCAACCGCCTTCGATGCGAGCTGAGGCAGACCGAAGTGGAACGTGTGAAAAATACGAAACTATTAAACTGTCGCTGGGCACAGAGACCCAGCCACAGAAACCGCCCAAGCCGCAAGGATAAGGGCACCATGATTGGAGGTATCATCTGATTGGGTACACGGAGCCAAAATACGCTTTCTCAACTTTCTCTTTATAGAAAGAGAATTACTACTATGAGTATTACTAGCCTAGAGTTAAAGTCATTACATACAAAAAGATTTCATTATTATTTCTCATAAAACAAGAACTTCAAAAGTATTCCCTTATAACTTTCATAAAGAAGATTTTATTTTAACTAATTAATGTATTATCTTAAAAGTAAACAAATAAACATATCGGTATTTTAAATATTATTTTATGTTACTTAAGAATATATAATTAAATTAAACAATAAATGGATATATATTTATTTTTTTGAACCCAATGTTTTTTCTTTCAAATTCACCACATTTAATCCATGCTTCTTAAAGTAAACAAATTGAGCTCTTTAGTTTAAAGTAATCAGGAATGCCGATGGAATCACAAGTTTGCAACGACTCAGCTATCTGATATCAGCCATTCTTTATTACTAAAAAAATCCCTAACTGCTGGCAGAGCCCTTAACTTCTTTCATATTTGTGAAAATATTCCTGCTAAGTGCTCGACCCTTTTGATGTAATTATAATCTTACTGGAACATTTGGCTAATTCTACGAGTTAAAATACGAAAACAATTACATCACTCAAACTCAAATGGGGGATGGGGAATAAGACCGAGAAGAAACACCAATAATCGCGCAACGCACTTAGCCAAATTTCAAGCAATTAAATCTTTAATTCGCGCTTAAAAGCTGTTTTACCCCACAGATTCCCCCCAGCTACCATTTTCCCTATTTTCCGCGGGGGGCAGCCAACTAATTATAAAACGGATGCGCCGCATTTTCCAACCCGAAGCCCCCCGTCTCCCCCTTTTTTTGGGGAGCGCTTTGTTTAAGGCCGCAAGTCCCAACCAGAAAAGGGACAGATAAATGCGACGGTCTGCTCCTAAAATAACAGTATTTTGCATAATTGTTGACCCAGAAAGTCCGAAAAGAAAGCAGCAACAAAACAGGGGAGCGATGCTGCAAAGAATGTAATTTCTTTTTCTTATTTTCCCCAGCATTTTCCCTCGGCGTCGCTGTGGGAACCGCCAGTGATTTGTAATTAGGAAACGGCCGCCAACTGTCGCCTTGGTTTTGGCCAGGCTCGGACGATGCCACGCCCCATTTGCACCGCAAGGGAGGCGGTGGCAGTAGCAGCGGCGGCGGCTGGGGGCATTAGCGAACGTTAAATACCCAAGTGCCATCTGCTAAGGGGAAAGCGGCTACAGAAAAAAAGGTGACCGGGAAAATTAAATGAATGAAAAGTGCTAGAAGAAAAGTGTAAAGCAATGACGGCGACGCCTGGTGCCTGGTGCCCCCTGCAGCCCCTTCCCCACACTCCCTTTTGGCCTTTTTCGCAGTTTGCGGCTTGGCGGAAAAAGAGGGGAGAAAGCGCTAAAGGGGTGGTGGAAAACTGTGGCGAAGATTCCACCCATTTGTGTGCGTAGTTGGCGAAAGTTTATTAAACATTTAAATTCACTCACGCTTTGGGACTGCTCCTTTCTTTTTGGCTGGGGAAATGACCAAAAATTGAAATTATTTCATGTCCGGTGTCACCATTTTGGGCTTCCGTTTTGGGTTCGACTTTGGGTCGGGGCCCTCGCCGAGCAGCCTTTTGCTTAAAAATAAATCCATTGATGCAGAACTTCTGAAACTTCATTTTCAACGGAAATTTATAATTTTTGGGCCAGCGGCCTTGGACGGTCCTTGTTTACTCATGTCCTGCATGCTTCCGCTTTCCTCTTTTCCATTTCTCTGCCTTTTGGGCTACCGGAAAGGACCTTTTCTTTCTGCATAATTTCGGGAAATATGTCTGCAGCAGTTGGTGATATTTCGGTAAAAGTTTGGGCCCATGAATTATGGCGGTGAATTCCTTGTGAAACGAGGAAGGGGGAGCCCTTTCTATAGAACATGTTAATACATTCCAAATGATTTTATTATTTATATTTCTTATCAAAAGCCTTTGAAGTAAAGCCAGAAAAAACGCACCTGGTTTATGCAAATTGTAAATATAATTACGAAAAAACCTAAAACAAATAGTGGTAATTTTCAATGAAAATTCTAATTGTTTTCGTTTAACATTGACTTTGTGGAAAAAATAATATGAAACCGATTTAATTTTATTTTGCTTGCACTCATAGTTTATTTAACAAAATAATATTTAAAATAAGTTAAAAACTTTCCTTTTTTTCCCCCTCATCACTTTAAAAAGTTAAAATGTATATACATATTTAAAAATTTATTATTTTGACATGTATATTAAACAAAGTAAAATGGGCCTATAAAATGTGTTTATGATGGCCGTTATTAACATATAATTATCCAAAAGTAGATTTTATTCCATACTAAAGCAATAAGCCTATAGTATACAATGAATGCGTTGTGGTAAATGCCTAATGCTAGGAAATGGACAAATTTTAGCTCTCATTTTTACTAATATATCTTAAGCCTAAGACCACCTGAAGGGGACTGAAAGCACCTTAACAAATGTTGGCAAATGACCAACATCCCTGCGGAGGTCGAAGAATACTCTCGATGAGAATATATCCTTTCTGGTAATAAAATCGCTTTTAAACATAATCCTTTGCCAGCGCAAATCCCATTCAAACCGCTCGGCTTGGCTTTGATTCCGAAAGCCCCGAAAACTTTTGAAAGGAGTTTTTGTTGTGCCCGTGTGTGTGGGTGCTGGTGGCTAGGCTCTTTGGCATTAGCCACCCACCTTTGCTCCTTGGGCCACCTTTCAATGGCTCACCTTGCGAGGAGGGCACCCACAATGGGCCCACACACCCACACCCACCCAGCCGCATTCAGGTGCTCACTTATTAGAGGAAAAGCAGGTGAAACCCATCCTTGAGGCGGTGACGTTGCACTCGGAAGTCAGTCTGAATTTGCGGCCCAGAAAACGGCAATAATGAAATCAAAATGTGAATGCCCTTTGCATTTCCTACTTACAGTTTGACCCTGTTACGGGCCTGGGCCAAAGCAAACGAAAGAGCTCCTGCTTCAGCTGAAACTGAATCTGAGCCTGGTCAGCCTCCAGGCATTTCCTTCGCCTGCCACGCCCCCGTGAATGAGCACTCATTAGTTCCCTTCCCTAGAATTGTGCGGCTTCTCTGCTCCGCTGCTGCATAAAATTTGCATTTGAATGCTGCGTTCGAAAAGTTAAGACAAATCCTTGGCGGGCATGCCCGTTAAGCTGCGGCTGCCGTTGTGAGGCTTCGTTTTGGGCAGCAGGTTAAAGCTATTTTAAAGAAGCTTATTCAAATTATCAGAATTGAATTTCTGGGGGCTCCTTCAAAACATTCATCTAATAAAAACCAGAGTACCCAGTATAGTATAATTTCCTGAAAAATACTTCAAAATTGTAGTTTAAGACAAATCAAATAAATCTTTTTTTTTAGTAAGCAATAAATTAACGGAAAAGTGGTAGCCCAAAAATATTAAAAGGTTTTTACACCCGTTATTCGTAGAGTAAAAGGGTATACTAGATTCGTCGGAAAGTATGTAACAGGTAGACGGAAGAGTTTCCGACCCTATAAAGTATATATATTTTTGATCCTGATATTTTTCTATCGATTCTTTTCAAGGTTTTTCGATGTTTTTGTTGATATTTATGTTAACCGATGCATCGATGTTTGACGAAACATCGGTTTCTTTGACAATTCAGGGTTACCACCACTTGACAATAACTCTTTAGGTCGCGAGTCTGATAGTTCCGAAAATAGTCAAGGATAACACAAATAATTGCCAATTGGAATCTAAAATTTTCTGGAAGGGGTTCTTTGTCTATAGACGATTTCCTTTACCGTGTTGAGGCTGTTGCAATGCAAACTTTGAATAGTGACTTCCACTTACTAACTGGCTTTTCTAGTAATTTATTTGACTGAACAGCAAGTAAGTGGTATTGGCGTTACCATGAGAAGGTACGCGGCGTTAAATGGCAGCCCCTAAGCATAGCTCTAAAGGCTCAGTTTAAGGACTCGAAGGCCGATCGGAATTTACGATCAGAGATTGAACAACGCAAACAGCGATCTATCGCCGCGCTAGCCGATAAATTTACTGAACAGTTGTCCGAACAGCCCTGGTCGAAATTCTCAGAGCTGAATTCCTTCCAGACATTCAACACGAAGTACTGTATGAGTCAACAAGTACAGTTGTTCTTAAACGAGAAATCTTTATGAAAACTCTACCCAAGTCCCAACCTCACTTTTCTCGCCTTGTTCGTTGGCCTTTGTTAAGGTTGTCTGTTACCAGTAGGTTGCTGTTGATTAAAGAAAGTAAGTCTTACTATTATTTCGTTGAAAAACGCCGATTCTCATAAAACATTGCGCTTAATAGATACATTCTTGGAAGTCGAGTATACTCCTTCACGTTGCTTACGGCCCGATCCCTAAGTCAGAGAAATTTCTGCCCAGATTATCGTCAGTATTTTCATCAGCTTTACAACATACACCCTAAAACATCAATCTACAAATTTAATCAAAGAAATGAATGTAAAGCAGTTAAAATTTCAATCAGTGTTGCCACCTGGCGTCCACGCAGAAAAATCTTGTGAAATGTAACCTAAACATACCTGTGCAAGTTCATGTTCGTCCGTCCAAGTTAGTGAAAGACTCTATTCTCAGTGCACCCTTTGGCACACATATGTACATACAAACAATATAGTGCACTCTTGCACAGACATACAAACAACATAGTGCACCACATTGCAATTTTATAACAAAGTGTACCAGTTCTCTATCTTCTATAGTTTCTGAGATATCCGCGTTCATATTTACGATATAACTTTTAACTTTTTTTTAAAATTAATAATAGGTATTGATGAGGGGTCGGAAACGCTTCCTTCTGCCTGTTACATACTTTCCGAACAATATAGTATACCCTTTATGACTAAAATACTTGCTCACTAATTAAATTAAATTTAATACTTGGCAATAATGTTTAAATTCTATTTAGCTTGCTTTATATGATAACCATCTTTGTAACTTTAATGATCACCTTTGTTAGAATTACTTTTCTTATATTCAACATATTATAAACATTTATTGCTAAATTTTTTCCAATGAAAGCTTGCATCAAGGAAGGTGATTAGGAGTTAGGCGTGTGTCGAAAAGATCACCAACCTGTGTCAGGTTATGCGGCTACGTTGATCATAATAGGGTGGGCAATGTCGCTGCTGACACCGACACACACTCATCAACTAGTCTGTACTGTAAAAACATCGGCTGCTGGTGCCATCGATTGCTTCTTCTACCATCGATACATCAAGTGGTGGCGCCATCACTATTTAAAGAAGCGTTGTCAACAATAGTAGGAAAAAGAAGAAGATAAAAATGTACAAGTTTCTGGATACAAACCAGTTGCTGCTGGACTGTGTTAGTTATATCCTTTGTATAACTTAAGATTGATAATATCTTTTGTTATTAAGTTTTCTTGAAACATTTTTAATAATTTTTTTTCGCAAACAATCTGATTCTTTTAAGCACATTATGTAAAAAAAAACAAAAAACATTTTTTTTTTGCTTTTGTACCATGCGCTGAGGTTGATCTATCGAAGCTACTTTCAACTCTATAGAAATACAGGTGTAGGAAAGAGACGGGAAAAAGTCGCTACAACTCGCTGCAGTGGGTAATGGGATCGATTCAGTATTCTAGTGTTTTATTCAGTATTTTTTTGTACGAGTTTCGGGATTTTTTTCAGAACGAAATGCATTTGAACTGCAATGGCTTCGTTATAAGGAAATTGTTGTTTGTGCAGAATCACGGAACACTCCAACGGTTCGGAACACAGCAAATTATCTCATCTTGAAAATAAATATTGCTATTCTATTGGTAATGGATGAAATCTTAATGGCCCTTCCTGGAAGGGCCTTCCACTCTTGATCACCTTAGGGTTTTTCATGGCGCATAGAGCGTAGTGTCATTGTTCGTTTAGAAAAAATTAATTAAGGGCAAATGTTTACAGCCTCATCTCAGTTTTTTTCATATGAATGGAGAAATAAATCGTACTGAACTGACAGGCGTCAAATTTTGCAACTACTCTAAAGGGCTGCTGCGTTCTTCTTGCTCCTGTGGCTTGTTGAGGGTTCTTCGTGGCTGTTTGGAAATGCACTTTCATCCTCACCTACATCCAAATTAATCTCCTTGAGGGTCAGATTTGTTTCTTCTTGCGGTGAGGCGCATGCTCTTCGCGATTTAACGGAGTATCTTTGATTTTTACCTGACGTGGCATTTTTCGATTAGAAAAAATAAAATAAATGTCTACAGCCTCAGATCAGTTTTGTTAATATGCACGGAGAAATATATCGTTCTTCTGCGTTCTTCTTTTTACATTTGTAGACGGCACTTTCTAGGTGTTTCTTCTAAGGAGGTCGCCGCAAAAGTGATCTTTATTGCACAGATTTGTACAGGCTTAGCCTATGTTACAAGAGTTGATTTCTTATATCTTCTGGTGTATTAGGGATTGTGTTTCTAAAAAAAATGTCTATGGGCTTTTCTTTTGTTACTGAACGTATTGATTTATTGTATTCCTGGACCGCCTGAAAAAGTAAATCTTCAAATACCATGCTCCCGTTGTCTTTTTTTAAGCACCTTAAAATTTCGGATAGTGTCGAATGGAACCTTTCTACTTGTCCATTACTTGTTGATGCGTATGGGGCAGTGGTGTGCACTGAGATTTTAAGTTGGTCTTCAAGCATGAATTTTATAGCTGCAGAACTTAAAGAACGTTCGTTATCCATTATTATCCATTTCGGCATACCGAAAGCTATAAGCATTTCTCTTAAGGGGTTTTTAATATCCTCAGCTGCTCTTGACTGTAAAATTTTTACTTGAGCGTATTTGGAAAATTTGTCAATACCTGTTAATACGCTGTTTTTTTCTGTGATATAAATATCTACATGGACTATTTCTCCTGGATATTTGGGGATAGGTGTTGGTTGAATTTCGCCCTTTGGCGGATGCCTATCGTATTTAGATTCTTTACAGGTCTGGCAGGACTGAACTATTGCTTGAATTTTCTTTTGAGCTTGCGGGAAAAAATAATTCTTAAGTATTTGTATTTTATTTTCTTTCGCATCTCTATGCGCTCTCTTGTGTTCTAGAGTTATTAATTCATTTTGTTGTAATTCGGACGTGACGTCGTCTACTTGTTTTCGCGTGAACCTTACTTTATATGAACTGAAATATGTGGGATAAATATTTTGTATTTTTCCCATTACTTCTTCGGAAGTAAAAATTCCGTTTATTAATCTGGGATCTAATCTGCATGCTAGGATTGCTATTATTTGTTCTTCTGTGTACACTCTTCTTTTTACTATGTGTCTATGGTAGGTGGGGAATGGAATTTCAAAAGTATCTGAGTCCGTTTCGTCCATGAGTAGGAATAATTGATTTTTGAAAACATTAATGGGAGCTTCTACAGAAAATATAAGATTGTGAGATGAGCTTTCGTCGCTATGAATGGTCGCTGTGGAGCTGAGTGAATTTATTTCGGCCGGGGCCCTAGAAAGTGCGTCAGCTACTACATTAGCTACTCCTGGCTTGTATTTAATTTCGTGATTATATTCGCCAATAAGGTCTCTCCATCGTTTTAGTTTCGCGTTATGGTTATTGACACTATTTGAAAAACTTAGGGGCTGGTGGTCTGTGTATATTACCACTTTCGAATATCCGTAAAGATAATGTCTTAGGCTTTGAAGTGCCCACACGATGGCTAACATTTACCTTTCGTTTGTTGCGTAATTTTCTTCGGTTTTTGTGAGTGTACGTGAGATAAATGTTATTGGTCTATGGTTTTGTTCTAAGACTGCGCCTATCGCATAACTTGACGCGTCGGTTGTAAGCTGAAATTCTTTTCCAAAATCTGGGTATGCTAGGGTGACGTCTCGGGAGATAAGTGTATTTTTTAATTTTTCGAAAGCATTTATTGCTTCCTTGTCTAAGTTAATAGCTGTCCTGCTTGATTTATTTTTTGATATGCGACCTTCTTCTCCTCTGAGGAGAATGGTTAGTGGTTTTGCAATTTTTGCATAATCTCTAATAAATCTTCTATAATACCCTGTCATGCCTAAGAAAGATCGTAGATCTTTTAACGTTTTCGGAATCGGAAATTTTGCAATTGCTTTTATTTTGTCACTATTTGTCTTAACTCCGTCTTGTGAGATGGTATACCCTAAAAAATCTACTTCGTTTTTGAAAAAATTACATTTCTCTATTTGTACCCTCATGTTGGCATTTTGTAAGGTTGAAAATACTTTTTCGAGGTTCTGACCGTGTTCTACTTCGTTTTTGCTAAAAACGATTATGTCGTCCACGTACACATAGCAAATTTTCCCTATGTATTCCCTCAGGATGTCGTCCAAGGCTCTGTGGAAAATAGATGGCGAGTTTTTTAGACCAAATGGGAGCCTGGTGAATTCATATTTTCCACCGTTTACTGCAAAGCCTGTTTTTTCGATATCCGTGTCCTTTAATGGGATTTGATGAAATCCACTTTTAAGGTCTAACACTGAAAAGTATTTATTATCCCCTAGCTGTGCGATAATTTCGCCAATCTCTGGGATAGGGTACCGATCAGAGATAGTGACGTCGTTGAGTTTCCTGTAATCTATTACTAGTCTATACTTTTTTTCTTCGGACTGACCTGACTTTTTTGGAACTACCCAAACGGGTGCATTATACGGAGAACGTGAAGGTCTAATAATGCCATCTTCGAGCATTTCGTTTATTTGTTTTTCTACTTCCTGTCTTAGTGAAGCTGGGTATGGGTGTGTTTTCCATAGACTGGGGAGTCTGATGAAGTTCTTATTTCTCCTACTACTTTAGTTGTGTATGCTAATTTTGTGTCTGGGTCCGCGAATAAGTTTTTGTGGCTTTGTACAAGGTTTTTTATAATTATTTTTTGTGACTCGGTCATATGACTGACTTGTGGTCCTATTGTGTTAACGGCTTGTGCGGCTAATTGGTGAATTTTAATTTTCCTTTTGTTTTCAAGAATGAGTGTATCGTTTTTAACATCTATAATTGCGCCTAGTATTTTCATTGTATCGTTGCCTAATATGCCATGGAATGTTTTTAGTGTATCTAGTAGAAAAAATTTCATTGGTTTATCTGAGATATTGGGGAGTTTAAGAATCGTGTGTTGTGTAATATTATTGTTGCCTCCCACAGAGCTAACTGAAAAGTTTTTCTCGTTTGGTTTTGGGTTTGGTACCAGTTGTGGTTGGATGTAATTCTGGTTTGAGCCTGTGTCTATTAAAAATTTTAAAATTTTTCCGTTCCCCGTCGTTACTTTAAAATAAGGTAGTGAGGAACGATTTATTCTAAACAAGGAAGAACGCTATAGTCGAGTACCTCGACTATCAGATACCCGTTACTCAGCTAAATGGAGATATGCAAGCAGCAAAGCGAGATTAAAATGCGCCACCTACCGGCGGTATACAGATTTAAGCGTTATGGGCGTTAGAGTGCGCGTGGCAAATTTTTTTTTTCGACCAATCGATAGGTATTGTCGAGACCAATACATTTCAGTTAAAATTTTTTATCTAGCATAACAATTTTGGGCGTCACAGGTTTTAGCGGTTTGTGGGAGTTAGAGTGGGCGTGGCAAATTTCTTTTTGGATCAATCGATAGGTATTGACGAGACCAATACATTTCAGTTAAAATTTTTTATCTAGCATGAAAATTGTGGGCGTCACAGGTTTTCGCGGTTTGTGGGCGTTAAAGTGGGCGTGGCAAACTTTTTTTTTGGATCAATCGATAGGTATTGATGAGAACAATACATTTCAGCTAAAATTTTTATTCTAGTATCAAAACTGTAGGAGCCACAGTTTTGGGCGGTTTGTGGGCGTTAGAGTGGGCGTGGCACTGTGCTGAAACAAACTTGCGCTGCGTAAGAAGCTCAGGAATCTGCACGCCAAATCTCAATAGCCTAGCTCCCATAGTTTCCGAGATCTCAGCGTTCATCCGGACGGACAGACAGACGGACAGACGGACAGACGGACATGGCTAGTGATCCTGATCAAGAATATATATACTTTATGGGGTCGGAAACGCTTCCTTCTGCCTGTTACATACTTTCCGACGAATCTAG